CCGATCTGAGCGCGACAGGCGTACCTCAACCGGGACTCGTTAAGGGTCCCTCATTTTTGAAAAAAGCTGAAGAAACACAAAAATTGCACGCCTTTAAATCCCCAAAAGTACTTGCGCGCTAGGAATCTCTCTGACCACAAATATGCACGTTGACAGAAACACAAAAATTGCACGCCTTTAAATCCCGAAAAGTACTTGCGCGCTAGGAATCTCTTTGACCACAAATACGCACGTTGAGTTGGATCGCGTTCCCGTGCTGCTGCTTGAACACACGCTGCAGGACCAGCACGTGGAGAGGTGTCATTTCTAAACGAGGTTGATAGAATTAGCTCTCTACCCGTAAGCCACAAATTCATTTCCTTTGCTTGTAAATCAAGCGAGTATGAAGAACACTGGCAGGTGGTCCCATAGCAATAATTCTGACACATAACTTTTTTTATAGACCTTTACAGCATTATAGATATTGCATATAACCCAGATGTTCTTCAGAGGGGAGACGAAAACCCAGAAAAAATGGACCACTTGATCCATTTGACACTTAAATTCATTGAGGAACGATGCAACCTTATTCTTTCTGAGTTGTACACCATTCAGCCATTCAAACTGAAAGGCAGCCTGGAAACAATGCAGCAGCGTCTGAAAGGAAGGCAGATGCCAACTCCGCACCTCAGTCAGAACACAAAGAAGGGTATGTAGAGATCTGCTATCACTTCTCTTTGAGGACCTATCAGATTCTTCTACAAATTTACTCAGGCCTCATCTCTCTAACCCCAATTCTTGCTGTAAGCATAAACCAAACGCTTCTCTCCAAGAATTCAGAGTAAGGCAGTAGGATTCATACTAGACATTAGTTTAACCCTGCTGGCCTATCTGCATTCATTTCTGGTGTTTTACAGTGGAGAAACTAGTGACACTGGAAAAGCAAATTCCCTTTCTCCTCTATCAGCTAGACACGCAAACTCTGCTAGGGATTGATCCTTTGAGGTGCTAATTTTTCTTTTGCTTTAAGCTGAGTAAAAGGGGTTGCTGCTGTAACTGTTAGTCTGAAAACAACAAATTTTAACCCGTTGGCAATAAAACCAAGTCATGGGCAAAGGAGAAATAGCCAGTAACAGTCTTCAGCTAACAAAATTGCTAATTACAATTAACTACAGTTGAAACTTTCGTGATGCATTTGTCAAGTGGCAGAACATTACAGTTCTTAGTACCTGAGTGATATATGTGAAAAACTTTTTCTTGAAAGAACTGACACTCGATCAGCTGCTGCTCACTATGGAAGCTGAGGACTGCAGCAATGCTCCTGTGCTGCTGAAGGAAGAAAGTGTGACACAGTCTAAAGTGCATCTGATAAAGGAAATTGCCAGTACTGAAGTGCCAGACAAGCTAAGTACCCCTGTCTATGAAATGATCACCGTGAGGGATGCAAACAAGAAACCACTCCAAATTGAACTCAAAATTGAATTGCCTAAGGTTAGCTCTGTTTCTGAGTGTGATCTGAGAATTTCAAAGGTAAGATAGCAGAAAGAATAACCTTGTGTTTTCTCTCTAGTATCCAATTCCTAGAAAAGCTCACTGCTAATTTGGTGCCAAATTGTTAATCAAGTATTTCCATTTTCTTGGTTTAGGATGACATAATCCTTGAAGTCCCGGAAAAATACGAATTACAGCTAGATCTGCCAGAATTAGTGGATGAAGAAACAACTACAGCAGTATTTAACAAAGGAAAACGAGTATTGTTTATCACAGTGCCAGTTACCAAGACAGATCCTTAAAGACTGCATTCTGTCTAGTTTATGTTCACAGATGACAGAACAAAACGAAAGCCCAGAATGAGAATCCTAACTTTTAGATGGTGATGAAGGGTTTTTTTATCGACCCTCTAATCTTCAGGGGTGAATACCTCAAATGCCTTTAGAAGATCCCTGTAGAAAAGGAACTCTGCAGGGATACTAGCACCACCAAACTTAGGAAAAAAATAAGTAAAGATTGTAAATGTTCAAGGAGTACTTGAATATGTTGTCAGCTGTAGTAAAGAACCATAAATGCATACATGCTTTACTACATCATTCATTTTGCCTTAAGGCATAACAGTAACAGTTGTGAAGTTTTTTTGCTAAATAAATTGATTACTGGATTCACATGGTTAGAGCAGTTCTCACATGTATATGATGCTGGAACAGCCAGCAGAGGTGTGTCATACGCAGTTCTACAAGTTGCCCTGCGTGCTGTTGCTGTTCTTTTTAGGACAATCCCGGCTGATCTTAACTGGAATAAGGCTTTGTAGTCTTTTCAGTCACTGAATATGCTTGACTTCACTTCTGGTAATCTCTGGATGAGACCATAAAACAGACCTATTGTGGACTATTCGAAACAGCATAAAGAGATTCAAAGCTCAGAATCCTTAGTGTGAACCAGAAACAATCTCAGAGCACTTCAACTCAGATGACTATCTGCATTAGTTTACACTAATACACAAAATACAAAGTATTATAAAGCAACACAAAACAACTTCAAGGATTACTAAGCATTATTAGAATTAATTGGGAAAGGGACAAACGAGTTTAAGTGATCTTAGTTTCAGGATTGATTTAGTAGTATGTTATTCTTACGGCTTCTATGACACATTTGCACTACAACCATGTTTCTGTACCAATATTCATCAGATCAGAAATGGAAATAGGCAAATTGGTTTTGAGCTGCAACTTTAAAATACAGGCTTACAAAAGAGCAGTAACTCCTAGCCTTCCCCCTTCTTTGTTTCAAAGCAACTTAGAAGGCTGTATTGAAATACTGTTCATAGGTTATACTTGCAAGTTCAGGCTGAAATTCTATCACTGCACAAGCTGAGCTGACCTGTCAGAGGATGCAAGCAGTACCAGAAGTCACTATCAGCACTCCCAAGCATACGCACTGGATAGGATTTTTTGAGCTGCAAGTGCTCCAGAGTCGGATAGTCATTCACAGAACGTTTCCGTAGGATAAACTATTCAGTGTTCTTATTGCAGGAAGAAAGTGAAAGGTCTCCGTAGCCAGAATCTGAGATTCTGGTGAACACTGCAGCAGTGAAGCCAGGAAGATTAACGTTCACTGCTGCATCCTAGTAATAGAGCATGTATTATTTTGGAACATTTGTGATTACAATTTAAGGTTAATAGGGTGAGTTTCACTATCGGACTGAAAGCTAAACAGCTCTGATTGCGCTACAGCAGTAGAGTAAGCCACACACGACTGAATAGAAAAGCACTGGAACATGTTTTAGTAGTTGTCAATTCCAAACATTTAATAGAATGTAGGTCCACTAGAGCAACTCTGGAACCAATATATTTTAGATCATTAAAGAAAAAATCAAAACCTTAATGAACATTTTTTGCTTAAGCCAGGCATGAAAACCAGGTATCACAGCAACCAGACATTAAATAGTTCCCACAAAAATATTTAATTTCCACAGTATTTTCTTTCAGTATCTTTAGTGAATTTTGTAGCACTTTACAGGAGACAGTACTTAATGCAATATACAGAATAACAGATCAGCTTTAACTTTTTCTTTCTTTTTTTCAAACTTCTCCCCCTATATTTCATTTTCCTGGTCACTTCGTAATTACTACACAGTCATCCTTTTTACATTAACATTTCCACGTGGAAAGTAGAATTTAAGAATGTTCAGCACTGCACCCCTTTCAGGATACAATGACGGGGGTTAACTGGACTCAAGTCCAACAAACTATTGAAGCATTTTACATACAATATATACATGGATAGCACATTCTGCAGCTTACTGAGGCTGGGACAACATAGACAATTCAGGGAAGAACCACAGCACCAGTGACTAACCCAGAGCTTCCTATGTTAGAATGCCTGAAAGAAAATATCCAAACATTCGAGTCACCACATGATTAATATCAACCGATGGGATTATCAGCGTGTATGATTTGCCTATATTGGATTCCAACACACAGATTCTCTTGAACGTTCTGCAAAACTGTTACTTCCATGGCATCATAGTCTGATATTAACTTAGCAAGAGGAAGAGCAATTAAAGAGTTTTCATACAAAAAAGCACACCTAAGTGAAAGTCGACGAGAAGACAGCACGTTCCCTGTGGTTATCCGAGAGCTGCGACCCTACGGATATCGGTGCTCTTTCACCTTAAAGTGCTGAAAAGGGATCACATAGCTGAGAAGGTCCAGACTGGTGCCAAATTCCAGGAGAGATTTGGAATGCTAGCACTTGGCCTTTGAGAAACTATTCCCAAGTGCTTCAGTCCCTTAGTGCATCTGTCATACCCACCCCAGCAGGAGAAAGAGATAATAAGGGAATTCACCTTCTACTAACTTACACATTTCAGTTATCATCTCATCTGAACTCCTGTGAAGAGATGTCTATAATTCAAATTTCTGAGAACACTGAGGTCATGAAATTGCTTGGTATGCCCCCCCCGTTCACCCTAGTTTAGAAGCAGATGGCGATATGCATACTGCCTGGATCGTTTTTACATCTGGGAAGCTTGCTCTGTTTTGGAAGTGTTTGCCAGTTAACTAACTGTATAAAAATACAGTATAGCTGTAATATTGCTCTGAAAAGCACTTTTGCAAACTTTTTCTGTACAGACTGGTAATAACGTTACCAGACAATATAATACATATTTAAAATAAAAAAGGAACTCTTTTAATAAGTCTGAACACTAAAGTCTAAATAGCTTGTTTAAAACAAAATAGTGTGACCCAGGAAAATTTTGCTTGCATTGTTAAATTATAGCAGCATGGTTACTGGCTTTTCAAGGAAATTCTTGAATTCAGCAAGCCATTGTGCTCCAACTGCTCCATCTACAACGCGATGGTCACAGCTAAGCGTAACGGACATCACATTGGCCACATCAAATCTGAAAGAAAAAAAGAGAAGGGAAAAAAAAAAAGGTTAACACAAATCACTGCAAGTCAGTGCCAAGTCAGTGCTGCTAACAAAGCAAAAAAGCTTTTATCAGAGAACCAGCAATAGCAGTTGGTGCTTGGTAACAGATATTTCTCCCTGTGGACTTCTAAAAAAAGGATACACTGGAGAGATCATATTCATTTCTTTTCTACAATTAAGAAACCTGTTTGTATGTTCCCTTTAGGACAGGAAGCTCATCTTTCTTTGTATCGCAAGAACAGCCCCCCACACACGGAGAAAAAGAGCCATTTTACTCAGTAACCTCCAGTTTCCCCATGTGTCAGTGACAGATATCTAGGACTGTTAACAAGTTCAAATAACTCTAAACGTTCCCCTGGGTCTATGGCAGTTCAAGCTCCGAGCAAGGCGGTATTATATACAGGACACTTGAATTACAATCCATCCCTTAGGTGTTCCTTAAATGCAAATTCAAGCAAGCTGTTAAAGAGGAAGAGGTGCCTAAACTGTTGTGGATCCCAGACTCTTTTCCACAGCTTAACCCTACCCCTCAAAGAAAGGAACAGCCTTTCCTTAACTTCTAAACAAGCAGCAAGAATAAATGTACAGCAGATCATTCATCAGTCACTGTGTTTCTCTAACACCTGCATGACCCTTTTATACAAGATCTCACTGTACTTCTTCCGAAGATACTGAAAACAGTATGTCAACAATTAATTTTTTTTAAACTATAACCTAGTGGAAGTGTTAGAAAACTAGCCGTTATTTCAAAGTTTCAATTCAGAAGCTCAGTATCTACAGAATCAGATGAATGCTTACCCTTTCTCATTATCAGCTGGCACTAGCCTTTTCTCTGAGGAACCAACTGCAAGGATGCAGGCTTGAGGTGGATTGATTATGGCGGAGAAATTCTTAATCCCATACATTCCTAAATTGGAAATTGTGAAAGTACCGCCCTACAAGAAAAACACATTCATAGTCAAATTCACAAAACCTGTTTCATGCGGAATATTAATGAACGTGGCTGAAACATCACAAAACAGGCTTTGCTTATTCTGAACAGGGCGTCTGAACAGAAGTCAAGGGCAGCAATGTTTAACAGCAATCTGAGTTTCTCACCTGGAATTCATGGGGCTGAAGTTTACCTTCTCGGGCTTTAGTTGCCAAAGAAACGACATCCTTACTAATGGAAGCCAGGCCCTTTATATGTGCATTAAACACAATAGGGGTTATAAGCCCTGCAGGAGTACTAACTGCAACACTAATATCCACTACGTGATTTCTGCAAGACACAAAGGAGATGCCAGTTACTCTAGCAAGATAACAATAAAAAAAAAATTCAGAACTGTTCAGACAACTCTGAATTAATATTATTTTTGCAACAATTATTTCACCTTACACACTGGCCTTAGACACAAGTTTCTTAGCACTTTAACAAAAGTCCCTCAACCTTTGCATTATAGCTGTTCCCCTCCCTCCTCAAAAATCCCAGCAGAAGGTCTGCTATTTTGGCATGAACTCTCTACTGAACAAAGAAAGTTTCTGGCTTCGACCGTACCATAAACTTACTGCCTAATAACTGTGTCCATCCATGAAGAATTTGCCTCAGGCACCTTCAAGCATGCCAAAGCAGAAGCTTTAATTATGAAGTCATTGACAGAAAGCTTAACGTTATCCGAGACCTCCTGTAAATAAAGAGATTTGAGGCATCAGTTCGTCTCTCACACATTACCTCAATTAGCTTGGATAGTCACTGCCATGCAGCCTTGTTTAAAGTGTTAGAAAACAATCATGCTACTTGTAAGCATTAATATTTGAAGTGCCAAGATAATTTAGGAGGTGAATACATCTCCTTTAAAATTTAAGAAGGTACAATCTTTTTTAATGCCAGTTTTTCCCCAAGCTTGGCTTTGCATTATTATTTTGCTGACGTTTTCTACCCTTTTTAGTCCTAAAGACCATTTTACTCTACCTTCCAGCTGGAAGAATTGAACACCACCAAGCAGAGTACAAAGTGGCCCTCTTAGGGAAGTCAGAAATCAGTGCACAGTACCTGGGTACAAAGTCTCATTCCGTCACAAACAGTCCAAAACCAATCCACAACAGGTAGAAAAGGCACTGAAAAAACTATTTTTTCCAAACCAAAATAGCATATCACCAAAAAGCAGGGTGGGCAAACCTGTGAGAGAACGCAGCTTTCCCCCCCACAGACTCTCACCATGCCTAAATGCTTTACCTGATTGAGTTCTTTCCTTAGCACCAGTACTTCTCCCATGTTTATATCAACAGAAAGGTAGTAGTGAGGTATTGTTTGTTTAGACTGCATCAACCGCTGAGCAATGACCTGCAGATATACAACAGAAGCAATGAAAATAAATCAATTTGGAAAATTCATGACTGTAAATAATGATCTTGGAAAGGAATAAAATCTTCTTACCCTCCGAATGTTGCTGATAGGGATATCTGTGAAGGTTCCCACTGGTGCTGCTGCAACTGCAGCAGCTGCAGGAACTGCCTCTGGTGCTGGAGCCTGCAATCAGAAAAAGCCAGCATAATTCCCAATTATCGACTGTACAGAGTAACTCAGTATGTGGGACAAATGCTGAGGCTAAGCTGCCTCTTGCTAAGGAGCAGCAGATATTTCTACTCTCTAGCCTCACCCCTCCAGTACCCACTAGGTTCTTTGTAAGTCCTATATTCGATTGTTAAATGTAGTAGTAGAACGTAGAAATGCAACACTGATATGCACTGCTATGAAGCTCCCAGAATAGAAAGTCCTGCTAAATGGTTGTCTTACATAGAGCAGAGAGGTATGCTAGAGGGCACTCTCAAACTGCACTCAGCCACATCCCTTCCAGCAGTACAGAAAGCAACACTTCCATCATCTCATATAAAAGACAAGCAACAGTAAAGAACAAATTTGTAGCAACAATGACAGCAGGCTGTTGGTTCGTAAGTCTGACTTTCATTCTAATTGCCTCTTTTCAGAAAGGTTAGATCAGTTGGGACTGGGCTTACGTCAATGCACAACAATGTAGCAACCAAACAAAGGGTTGGGACCGCACTTTCCCGCCCCCCCTCAGTGAAATACCAAAGGGACATATAAAGGAAGAAAGTTTCATCTGTGTTTCTGACAGGTTAAGCTTTACAACCTAATAGCCACCATAGCCCATACAGCATCATAACCCAACCAATCCAGCAGTAACAGTTCCATCTAGTAATTGCATTTCTACAGAACATTTCCATCACTACAATAAAATATCCATTCTCAAGCCTACTCACTGGAGCAACCTTTGGTGGCACAAATGACTCCACATCTTTCTTTGTGATTCTACCATCTGGTCCAGTACCTAAAACGGTCAAAGAAAAACATAAGATGATTTCAATTATTTGCAACAAGGCATTGCTTCTAAAGGTACCAGTTTTATTCCACAGAAATCACTTAACACAGCCTCTGGTGAGGACAGCTGCATAGTCAGGATGTTCCTGACAGGGAGGAAAGAAAAGAATAGGCAAGTATGTCCCTAGAGGGACACTTGATAGTGAGAGCAAGGAAGTGGAAGGGCAACACACCTTTCACTTGGGCAAGATCAATTCCTTTTTCTGCCGCTATTTTCTTTGCCAGGGGACTAACCAGGACCCTTCCTTTCGAGGGAGGTGGCCCAGCTGCAGGGACTGCTGGCGTGGAAGGAACAGCAGGCTGGGGAGGAGGAGCGGCAGCAGGAGTAGTCACCACCTTAACAGAAGAATCAAAGCCATGAGCTTCAGGATCATTCAGCAAAAGCTTTGAAGGTACAGTAAGATAACAGGACCATCTAATTACCAGTCAAGAGAACCGCAAAAATAGTCACTAATCTGAAAGAATTTTCAGAGAAGTTTCCCAGTGCCAGAAACTAAATCAGAAACTTACTGGGAAGGAGGCCAACTAAGCTGCTGAACTATACACCAAAAAAAGGTGAAATAAGTAACTTATTCTCCCAGTTTTCATGGATGAGGCATTAGATCTGGCACAACAGGCTGGAGAAGAGATCATAATGAATGACTATCTGCTCCAGTTTTTGGAGGGCAAACTAATGATCACTTCCTAGGTCACCTATCACCAACACGTGTTAGCCTTGCATTCCCAGAATCATAAACATTATTGTTGCAGCCAGGGCTTCACACTGTCAAATCAGCAGAACAGTTCAGATCAGGCCTCTTAATGGTCCCCATAACTCCTCTCACATGCTAAGAATGGTCCTTACTGGTGGAGGAGGAGGAGGAGCAGCAGCAGCTTGTGCCTTCATGTCAGTTACCGCAGTGGCTTCGTAGTCAGCAAAGGCTGGAATATCAGACTCTTTCTCCACAATGATGCAGAGAGCTGTTCCTAATGGTACATCTCTTGTTCCTTCAGGCACCAAGATTTTTGCCAAGTAGCCTTCCTCCTGCACTTCAAAGCCTGTAAGGGAAAAAACCAGAACTGTTTTGGTTCCTGATGCAGCTGAAGAGTTCCTCTAAAATGTTGCTTCTAAAGCAGCTAAAGCCCTGTCCTATATTTAGTAGGCAAAAGAATAATTTTCAGTGCAACTAGTAGGGAAATGTCTCCATGCACTGTACGCTGCTAAAAAGGATTGATGAAGAAATAGAAGTGGTTTTAGGAGCTCCAATGTTTAGCTCCCCCATGGAATGAGAAGTTATGCCCCACAGCTTCATGTCCTGAGCAACTAGGAGAACAGCTGGAACAGAGGCTACTCTGGATCCTCCCCTTCTAAGAGCAGTTCATCCATTCTTGGCTTTGGAGGTGACTCACCTATTGTGGCTTTATCTGTCTCAATTTCTGCCAGTAAGTCTCCCTCATTCAGTTTCTCCCCGACTTTCTTCTCCCATCTCTGCACTGTGCCCATTGTCATGGTAGGTGACAGGGCAGGGAGAGTGACCTGTGAAGCCAGAGAATACAAGAGAATCAGATTCTGGTAATCCAAAAGGAACAGGAACACAGTTTTAACTCCTGACTAGACAATGCCAACCTAAAGAAGCAGCCAGCCTTTAATGCACTCTTAGATCTGGCTCCATTACAGCAAAGCACAGTGCTGTCCCATATTGCTAGTTTCGCTTCTTTTATTAAAGGCCTAAGAAGAAAGCAAGCAAAAGCAAAGAGCAAGAAATCTATGTATCAAAATAATCATTACCACCACCACATTGGGACTGTCTTGCAGCTGCTATCTGCAAGGCTAAAAGGAAGACTGAAGCAAGTCACTTTGTCTGTGACTAACAGGTTTGGCCCCTTTAAAAGCTATACAGATTCGTCTTCCAATAAGCACTCAAAGATGCTGTAGGTTTGCACATGCTTATTGCTGTGCAACAAATACAGCATGTATGAGTACAGCTTCAGAGCAAAACTGGACAGATAAGGCAAGCAAGCAAGTTTAGTAGCTAAAACACAAGTCAGATTAAGAAACCTTTAATAAATTCTTTGTTCAATTACCAACTTTGCCTAACATCTCAGACAAATCAGTTCCTATATGTATCATCTGTGGAATGACGTTTAATATTTCACATTTTCTTTTTAAAGGAACATCACAGAAATACCCTGCTACAAAGCACTCAAATACAAAACAGTGGGTGGATGCTTCAATATCTAAGCAAGGTAAAAAGATTATCCACAAATACACCTCATTATTAGTCACCCACAAACACATTTGGTGTGTTCATCAGAGTATTACGGTCTTAAGTTCTGCTCTGAGATGTAAGCAGGACCTTCAGAGCTTATTCCTTCAGAGCTTATTCACATTTAGCACAAGGTCTTTTTATACTAGAGCTGTCCAAATAATGCATATGTAGCAGGTTTTTTCTAGACTGCATAACAATCCTGGAGAGACAAGTCTCTTCTCTACTAGCACCAGGGATGCTAAAACAATTTTCTGAAAAAAACTTTATGGGACCTCCCAAACACCCGCTTTAAGCATGCAACAATTGAAGTGGCATACACTCCTGCAATTACAGCCAATAACTACGCACTCCAGATAGTATTTATGACAAAATGCCCTGAAGTTAGTAATGCCAAACACAGAAGAAGAGCGCAACAAGCCTTAAATTATCAGCAATGCTCTCTTACCTGCATATGAGGAGGGTAAGAGCTGCCAGGAGCCTGAGGAGAAGGCTGAGTTGGTGGTGAGGGAGCTGCAGCTTGAGGAGGAGGCACTGAGGCTGCAGGGGGGACAGACGCTGCAGAATCCAGAGTATAATTTTTAAAGGCATCAACATATTCAGGCCTAGAAGAAAACACCGAACCACAAAAACAGTCAGATGACTGTCTCTAAGCCTTTCACACAAGGCACCCAAGAAGCCCCGAGAGAGGAAATTCAACTCAAGGGTTAGCAAAATACATACTTTTCTACTGTGATACATATTATGGCCCCAATAGGAACATCTCTTGTTCCTTCTGGCACCAGGATCTTAGCCAAGTAGCATTCCTCCAGACTCTCAAAGCCAACGGTTGCTTTGTCTGTCTCCACCTTTGAGAGAGAACAGGATATCATCACAGCAATGGAAATAACCAGTGAGCTCAGAGCCTTCCAGTCTGATAGCGTAGGGTCATGACACACACAGTTCTGTGGCACCACCTCTAGGAAAGTATGCTCTCAAACAGGTTAAGTGCTGCTCCTGCTCAGAAAGGGGAAAAGCAGCAACGAGTTTTGAAAGGCTGTTAGCCACTTCTGGCTGTTAGCCAGATGCTGTTGGGAGCTGTGATCTTGAACCCAGGATCTGCGTTCAAGTGAGGAAAACCACAAACAGAACCCAGGACGCACATACAGCTCATGAGAAATGCAACACAGCCTGTGCCCCCAAGATACCTCCGCTATGAGCTCCCCTTCACTGATCTTGTCACCTTCTTTCTTTTCCCAGCGCGCAATGGTGCCCATCTGCATAGTGGGGGACAGAGCTGGCAAGGTCACCTGTGAGAAATAGGGCAATGTTACATCCCAGACAGCCCTGACAGTAGGAACCCCACACACAGGGCAGAAACGGATCCTCCACACAGGCTGGGACAGGGGGCAACAAAGGACAGCCTGTCTGCAAATCCCTAGCAGTCAGGACTGCCTCCAACCTGCTGGTAAGACCGCAGAGCAAACCAATATCGGGGTGCTGAGATGAGGCTGACCAACAAAGGGAGAAGCTATGCCAGGAAACCAAGAGAGGTACAGAGAAAAAGGACTAGCGGTGAAGGAGGTGGGACCTGATGAACGGTACAGGGATTTGGGGCAGGGTGGCAGCAAGGATACGAGACCCGCAGATTTGGAGAGGGAACTGCAGTTCCCCAGGGCAAACTGAGCTGCCCAGTGAGGAGAAGCAAGGCCCAAAGAGAGGAAGTGAAGGGGCTGCCCCCGAGGT